CCTTCTCGTTTTCCCAATTTCCACTCGTGTTGATATAACTGTATATCAACACGGAAAATGTTTTATATTTGTTAAATCATAAATATTTCTAGGGATTTTAGTCGTTGTTTTACAGACTTTCGGCACTTCGAAAGTTTAAGCTGACTTTTTAATTTCATCAAAGTGCACCAGATTTTTGGAGTGGTTTGCCCCTCAAGGATCTAATTTTTTATACATCTATGTATAACTCAATCACTTCCTTAGCAATCTACATTTTCACCACATGTGAATCAAATTATTTTGATTACTTATTAATAATATATTTATCTTTTTAACCCTGATATATGAAATTGCATCGAACAGACAGTCGATGCGCATCTGACTGATAATATGATTCCTTGCTCTGTCGGTACGAACTGCAATAAAGTGAGGGGCTTGTCCCAGGTAGGAATCAAATATATGTCGATATCAACCGCTTCAAATGCATTCAATCGAACGATAAAATGCAATCAAATCCAATCAATCATTCAGTCAATGAAATGCAATCGATTAATCAATTAATGATATATAATTAATGGTAGGTGATTGTCACGAATGAACATCGTTAATGAATGGTGATGCACTCTTGATTATCTATTGATACAAATTGATTTGTTATTGATTATGCTCTCAGATACAACCAATATGTTGATTGTTTATTGATGGGGCTCAGTAAGAATCGATGAGTAGCAGATGGTGGCCAACTAGGGGCGGTGCTAAGCCTCGTTTAATGAGGGGGGGGGAGGTATAGTTTTGCCAAGTCTAACTTGGTCTGTATTAGCCTACAGTATGTACACTAAACATTGGTTAGCATTGCATATACGCGGATTATGCAAAAGTCTCCACTTTCACAGAAAACAAACTGTCAATTTTGTCGACTATACTTGACTGTTTTCACGGGCACAGCACTCTATTAGGGGGGAGGGGGGAGGTCATGTTCCCCCCGAAAAACTTTGAAATATAGAGTCCATGAAATGGCGTTTCCTCTATTCTGGGGAAGATTTCAAATGACCACATCAACGATTGAAACTGAATAAAAAATACATTGTGTAAATCGAGAAAATCAAAGTTAAAGTTTATGTAAATCATGAGAAATTTCTATCACAAATAAAGATACGACACGCTTTATATAATTTTTCTTTCTCAATTATTAACTCAATCATAAAATGTGAAATTTAAAGTTCTTATGCGTTGCATAAGAACTTTAAATTAAGCTTTTAATTCTATTTATTTTTCTTCAAATACAAGACAATTACATAACAAAAAAGTAAATTAGTTTCTCACTCTGATGTTACCACAGGTTGACCACCATCTGCCGTACGTAGTGCTTAGTGAAGCCATCTCTTTTGATTAATACATATATGTTCTCTTATTCTATTTAATATTCTGTTTGCTTTTGACAGTATATACTTGTATCTCTTATTCCAGTTAATTCTCTTTTTGTTAAATGTTTCTAATGCCATCGTTTTCAGAAGGAAAATGGCGGAGAGACAACCAAATCATCAGTAAGTATACAGGGTGTATAAAAAAAAGGTAATCGAACTTCAGCGCGCTATTATACGTGAATTACTCGGCGTATGAACAATTGGTTTTCATATTCGGAAAGATCAGGCTTTTAGCTTTTGAATGACATGCTTTTCATGCCAAGAGGAGAAAAAATAAGCATGTACGAGGCCGATAAAAAAGGTTAGTCAAAATCGCATATTTTCACCTCTGTGCCTAATTAAAACAATGCATAACAAAAGAAAAAGCAATTAATCACGAACGTGTCGTAGCTTAGCTAAGATTTATTCCTACTTAATAATAATTATGAATATGTGCGTAGTTTAATGAGTGAAATTCATCAACTTATGTACCAAAGGGAGTTCATTTTCAATGGTTTTAGACCCAACTCTCAACGGTGAAAATATGCGATTCTGACTAACATTTTTTATCGGATTCGTATTTGCTAATTTTTTATCCATTTGGCATGAAGAAAATATCATTCAACAGCTAAAAGCATGATCTTTCCGAATGTATTAAAATCTCGTTCATACGCAAAGTATAAATTCGGATACAATAGCGCGCTGAAGTTCGATTACCTTTTTTTTTATACACCCTGTATTTCTTCACAAAATGCCTGCATATTTGATGAAAATAATGCATGGCTTATGTAAGTGATAATTATAGGGTCATATAACTAGTTCTACCTTTGTTCATAGATCAACTAAGAAACGAGGCAGAAATATTTAAAGAGAATACAAAAGAAATTAAACGCAAGATGTGGTGGAGGAATAAAAAGGTAAAATAAGTAACATACATACACAACGTGAAAATATTACTTCTTCAAAGTCAGTGCCGTGAAAGAAGAGTTGCATTTCAACAATATAAAAGCAAAGATAGATGGAACCATGTGATTCAAACGTCGCGCTTCTCATGTGCCGAAGCATTAAAAACAATAGATAATTATATAATGAGGCATTTCAACTCATTATCTATTGTTCAGTTTTAATGCGCTCGGCAGATGAGAGGCACGACTTTTGAAACAGGCCGTATACCTAAGGCCTGCATATACACGTCGAATTTCGGTCGCGTCGAATACAATTCAAAACAATAGATAATGAAGGTTAAATCTTAATGAGGTTTATCATCTCATTATCTATTATCTTAATTGCATTCGACGCGACCAAAATTCGACGTATAAAACAGGCCTAAAGCCGGTTTTCCACTAGGCGGAATTTTGCGCGCGGAGCGGAATCTTTCTTTGTCTTGTGATTTCTCAAGTGGAACTAATTAGAAAAGACAAATAAAATGTCCGCTGCGCGCGCAAAATTGCGCCTAGTGGAAAACCGGCTTAAGAGAGATAAAGAAAACTTGGAAAATGTGATGTCTTCTTTGTGTCTTTCAGATAGACCAGAAAGAAAACAGATTATCCAGTTTCATTTCAGAGCCATCCTCAGATTGAGACATGAAACTGACACTGCAGAGTATAACGAAAAGTTCCTTGTCTCGAGCGGGATTCCGGCATCTTCGGGTTTCTAGACCGCCACTCTACCCATGCATTCATGAGCTATCAATTCCAGACAGCGAATTTTTCATTGTACTCGACAGTGTCAGAATAATATGAAACTTAGTTTATCCACTTTCACTGACAAAGTTTGTTCATTCTCCTCATTGTAGATGTGGTTAATCCTTATTGTTATTGTCGTCGTACTCATTGCTGTCGTTGCTAGTAAGTATGATATATTCTTCATAATACATATAATGCGTCACGATTAGCTGAAGCTATGCACATATTTTGTATATATTACTTATACAGGGTGTATCAAAAAAAGCGCAACCTCGGAATTTCCCAAGAAATCGACATTGTTTTAAAGACAAAAGATTTTAGGCGCCTGGGAATTTAAAATAGCATAACTGTCAAAATTACTGCACACACGAGTGCATAAAGCAAAATTTATGCATTTATTTAATGCACAACAACAGTAATATGATCTATTAGCAATTCGATTTCAATTTCCAGGGGCGTAAAATCTTTTATGCTTAAGAATTGCAAAGTGATTTCTTAGGAAATTCCGAGGTTGCGTTTTTTTTTATACACCCTGTATTTGCGGATTAGTGTATAATTATGTATTATTGTAAGTATTGTAATTATGATTTATGATTCTGAATAAATTTAAATTTTGAATTTTGAAAGTTTCTGTTCATAATCTTCATCGGTGTCATTCTTTACATTTCCTTCTAGTTTGGCTTGCAGCTCTGAAGTAAAACTACAAAAGCTTTAAATTTGATTTTCTGAATATCTTGGATCGGTTGCGAGAGAAATATTTTAGTTGTGTCCAGTCCTAACTCAAATTTACCAATGTCCAGCAATGTCAAGTCAAAGCCGCAACATCATTCTGGGCTGGTGGATGCACGAAGCTTAGAACACGGGATAAAATAAAAATGATACAGTAATGAGCTATACTGTAGCCTATAATGAGTTTGTAATGAATTATGACTTGTCAATTCCACTTCAATAACGTGGGCACTGATTTTGCGGGCTAGGTATTGACCTTCTGCAACTTTCGTTGCCAGCTTTGTTATTTAGATGTACTGTAGGTACTTTCTCATCATGGACATCTCTGAAATAATGGCATTCCCCGCGTTCTGGGGGAGGATTTGACAGAAACTATGTCATTTTGTCTATTTTACATTCAATGAGCCAGCAAAGAATCTGATACATTTATAATTATGTTAAATTTCTATTCTCTTGTACAGTATATATAAGGATTAGAAGCCCCCTCAACTGGAAAGTTGCCCACTATGTCTTAATTGCGGAAGATTTCCTGAAACCTAATCAGGTACGATAAATCGGCAGTAGACAATGCGACATAACCAGAATATGCATTGGGACAATGCTGTTTGTCCGTATAAAAATTTATTAACTATACATTAGTATTGATTTCTTTTTTGGTGTATTGTCTTGACTTTGCGTCTATTGTCTGTCTTTTTTTACAATATCCTTTGTAAAATAACTCATGCACGAGTCATTCATAAACTGAAGAGCGAACAGATTAATCAGCAATTCAATTTGCCAAACGGTTTGAATTGTGGCATTGCCGATAAACAGTAAATGTGCAGGGGTCGGTTGTACGAAAGCCAGATAGCATAGTCAACCGGCACCGGATCTGAGTGATTTTTCAGGCTTTCAGCATTAAGTTGCCCGTTGATTGGTATATAACCCAGTCCCATTTTTGTTAATTGTGGGATGCATATCCGTATTTTTATTCCGCTTTTCAAGTATTTTTAGGACGGCTGAAGAAATCATGATCTATCCGGTGCCGGATGGCGTTAATGCGTTATCCGGCCTTCGTACAACCGACCCCAGAACATTTGTTGCAGACTAGGCCGGTCAGCCCTATACGGGCTATAGCGGCAGGGTAAAAGGAGACTTCCCACCGGGCACACGACGTTGTTTCAACGTTGAAATTTGGTAGAAAAAAGGTTGCGACGTCGACAACCTAATATCTACGTTGCTCTGACGTTGTTTTACAAACATATTGGTTCAACAGCAGCCAACAGACGTTGAATTAACGTTCATTGATGGTTAAATGTACGACGTCGATTTGTGAACCAATCTCAACGTTGTTTTAACGTGGATTCAACGTTGAATTATGGTTGACGAGATTGGCAACCTAATTTCAACGTTGTTTCAACGTCGAAACAGTAACGTCGATCCAATTTGCATAGTCAACCCTTTTTCAACGTCTATCCAGCGTCTGGAAGGTCATTTCCAACGTTGATTCAACGTTGGATAAACGTCATTTTGCCCGCTGGGTTGCGGTATACTACTTCGGCAACCAAAACGTACTTCCCACTATCACTTCTACTTTGAAGTATAGCCCTCCTAGCCCCCACCCCCCTGGTTCCGCTGCTTAAGATATTGCACCAAATAATAGGTAGTTTAGTGAGTTTAGGCGGTAGGGGCGACTCCGTCAAAGCGAGAGAGTCGAAGCCAGTGACAGTGTACTGATGTACAATTAAATTTTATCGTATATTGTATATAAACTTGTTCTTATAATTATATATTTGCGTTTTTGATAACAACCAAGATAACTGAAGATATAAACATTTGTTAGATATATGACGGCCTCTTTTGAGTATGATGATGTCCGATTGGCAGTGTTGTTTAGTAAACAAAAACCGGAATAACACAACAACAAGCACGGAATAGTCTCAAAATACGTCACACAGCAGTTCTATTAATAACTGTTCTCTCGTTCAAGAACTGAGTCTGTTTTAATAATACATGAACTTTCAACGGGCTAGTACATGTCGGGCATTGTTATGGATTAACTATAGAAACGTATAGCACGCGTATACTCCGTCATACATTATTAGTATCGAATAGTGTGTTGAAGATGTACCAGTACAACACCACTAACATGTTCAAGTGATTTTTACTCGATTCAAAACGATCGGAGGCAGAGCTATAAGTTATTAACGATGATATAAAATAAATTGCATTGGCTATAATCTTTTTAACTTGCACCGGGAACCACTAAGTATTTTAATTTTAAAAATACAATACAGTCAGTAGTAACACCGATTTATTTTATTGACTATAAAAACAATATATGGGGGCTGTATCCGCATATATATATATGTGCTCTGCTATGAACCTTTTTAAATTTTTTTTTGATATTTCAGAGTGTATACTTATTGGGAGTGAAAATATGAAATTATATTGAACGAACAGACAGAGTGAAAAAAAATCCACTTGCCCACAGAAAAAGTTCATTAGGTATTCAAGCTCTCATGAACCACCCCCCGCAATGCTAGGTTGGCAAGGCCATATTGGAGACGCCATTACAAAGATGGCGGAGTTAAACAGTAGTCTAACAGCTATGGATTGGCTGCCAAAGCTGACCGTTGGCGGGGCTATGGCCAATGCCAATGGATGTGATAGTATGGGAAACGGTCTTCAAAAGGCCTCGTTGCGAAAAAGCCCTGGCTCGCCTGTTAACCCGTACGCGACACTCACCGAACAAGAAGCCCGCGAACATCAGTTACGTGAAAACAAACCGCCGTACTCGTATGCTAACCTTATTACATTCGCGATAAATAGTTCAGATAGCAAGAAAATGACATTAAGTGAAATATATCAATGGATTTGTGATAATTTCCCGTATTATAGAGAAGCTGGTAGCGGCTGGAAGGTAAGGAATTTCGGGTTTTAAATTATATAATATCAATACTAGTTGGCACGAACGCAATACACAACAAATTCATCAAGTGCAATGATGTGTATTATTCTGAATAATCGTTCTATCGTGCTGTTTTGTTCGTTTCTATTCACAAAGTTTTTCAGTATGTATTTAACGGAGTGTTTGTCATATAACAAAATATTTTGTCTCGTTTTAGAATTCCATAAGACATAACCTGAGCCTCAATAAATGTTTTCGAAAAGTTGCGAGGAGTAAAGATGACCCAGGAAAAGTAAGTGTTTTAAAAGCAATAATGGCCACTTGTGTTATTGGCGATAACGCCAACAATTACCCAAACACTATTTCTCATGGGCTATGTCATATGACTATCTACAATGTTATATTTCTCAATAGTAAACATGATATTTAAACTGCAATTCGGGTTATCCGGCAGCTATTGTAAACTTTGTTGTCACTTGAAACCGAGCTTTTATGTTGTGTGTACATTATTAGTGACAACAGCACGTAACCGTTCTAATTTTTTTATTTTATTTTAAGGGCTCATATTGGGCAATTGAGCAGAATCCTTCCGACGATGTACTACAGCTAAGGCCTAGTCGAAAACGTGGCCCAAATGGGGTGAGTAATTAGGGTTTTCTTTTCAAACTGAAAGTTTTTGTGAGTAATATCGGCTGAAGCGGTTACTATAGAGAAACTGTTAGACAGTAAAGCGCCCGCGAATTCTTGTTAAAAGCATGTTTTTACAGTAATGTGGTTTTAAGAATACCTGCTACATTTTAAAATATTTTATAAAGATTTAAAACCGCGACCCCGGTTTACGTACTGCGCGCAGGCTAGCTTTCGTAATGTTTACATTTTGTGTCATCGAACAACTTCGATTTTGGAATTTATTTTAATAGTTTTCCCTTCGTGATAAAATTTCTTCGATCGTTTTGTCTGTAATGGTAAATGTAAACAATCATTTCAGATATGAATCTTGATACGTTTGGTGGAATTATAATTTGATTACAAAAAACTATCACCTCTTTTCATTGTCCTATTATAACTTCGAAGGGTCCATTCAGTAAACATGTTCTGATTTGTTTTTACGAGAATTTCGGAATATTATTAAATGTTACAATTATTTTTTTAAATGTGACAACGAGACAAATCTGTAAACATTTCACCTCCAACAAGAGACCCAGGGCCAGACACATTTACGTTTCGTGCTTCGGTTTGAAATACAGGAAGGTGACCCACAATTTCCGGCGTTAAATATATTTTCGCAATTATTTTTAGGTGAAATTAACACGCTATCACAGCATCGAGAAAACATAGCATCCAAAAAACATCAATGAAATTCCCCTTGATACATTATGTCTTTTATCATGTATCTTTTGACAGGTGTTGGATTATATAAGAGCTGAACAAAGATCTCTTATGACAATTTCAAATTTCAGAGCCTTGTATGCTTCCTATATATAAGGGCTAAGGCTTGCGTGATATGACTTCATTTCAGTGACATATAACACATTTTGGCATCTCTACTGATGTACAATTATCAGTTCTTTTGGCCTGGTTTGATGCTTTCATCACATCTTATATGCCATTACATAGTTTTCAAGTATTGCTTCATTGTATTGGCCTAGGGATTATATTAGCTTATGGTTTGCATTTAACCATTTAAGAAAACATGCTTTGAAACTAAGATGCTTTTGATGAGTTGGGAGAGCATTATTTATTTTGTTAATATTATTGTTAATATGAAATTCTATCAATATATATTGTTCTCATGCAAACATCTTAGTTGTTTCCTTGTATCATTACTATCATGTATTAGTATTACATTTTCAGACAAGCACTCAGGTATTATACTCTGGTATTATAGGCATGCATGTTTAATCCATTGATTGGCAGCACTCTTCCCTTGATGAGTGAAATTGTCTGCCGTTGGAGGGAGTAAAATAATAACCTAGAGTGCATCATCACTTACGTGGTTAGGCCATAATTAGGCTAGCTTGTTCAATCCACAGGCCTTGTATTCATTATAAATATTTTTCTTGTAGTCTTTTGTTTATGGTGACGAAGATTGTCAATATTCACCTGGTGGCATGTCACAAGATGGTATGTCTCCAGACCTGTCACCCATGCATACATCTCCAATTCCAGGGGCACCACTACACCCCTCCCAGTCACCTTACGGTACCTCCCCCTCTGCCTCATCACAGATATCACCCAGCAGCAATCAACCTGCTAGTGTACCATTCAACAACAACAACAACAACAACAACAACAATGTTGGAGAACCTCCGACAAAAGTTGTTCCTGATATAAGTTTTGATGATTTGAGTGCATCGTTTCGAAGTTTATATCGATCAATGTTTGATGCCAGTGTTAGCAATCAAAGTTTTGGAGGTAAGTCTTATTTATTAAACTGACTTCACTTAAACATTTTGCTCCCTGTATCCTTTACTGGCTGATAGTTTCAGCAGATATAAAAAGTAATGTCTTCATTATATTTACATCTCTTCAAGGTTCAAGTTCTTCATCATCCAATCCTATAATTGGTGAAAATCCAAGTCTTGGCAACACAAGCACCAGCCAACAGTCATTGAGCTTGGTACAAAACCTTGAGACCTTGCTAGAAAGTATGAACTCTGGTAACTGGCAGAATGTTGATTGGGGACAGATGCAATCTGTTATGGAAAACATGCAGGGTTTAGATGCAAGTTCATTTGGTGTTGATCCTGCCCAGTGGCAAGAACTGACTCAGTCATTTAATCAACTCCTTAATGCCCAAGGCATACCAAGGAACTTTAATTTTAGCACTTCTAACCAATCGTTTTCAAGTAATAGTAGTTTAAGTAGTCACTCGGCAAATAGTTTTACAGGACGGAATTTTATGAATCTGTCGCCAGGAAGTGGTGCTCATTTATCAGCCGGAAGTTTTGTTGGTTCAGGGAGTCCAGGAACAAGTGCTGGATCGTATCATTCAACTGGAAGTGTTCCAGGAATTCGAGTCACACCACCAAACTATAACATTCCAAGAAGAAATGTGATTGAAGAGGAGGACGAAGAAGATGATTTTGATTGGTCAACAATTATGTAGTTTTTATACAGGTCAGTGATCAAATGCCTCTTTATTGCATGGATCACTTTTCATGTTACTATACCAAAAAAATGGCACAAGGATCAAGCTTAGGGTTAGGATTAATGTTTAAGGATTTGCTCTACAACAAGGATTTTGATTAGGAATAGGATTATAATTGGGATTTGTAGGTCAAATAGCATTGGCTTACCACAATGGTTAGCCTTCTCTTCCTGTAGAAAGTGATCACTTTCCCAAATGAGTTAAATGGTGGAATTGGTGAGGAGTAAGGCTAGGATTGCAGATTAGGATTATCATTAGTGTTAGGATAATGGATAGTTAAGTAAACATTCCATTTTGGTTGACCTTGAGAGCTCCGGGAAGTGGATAAAAAATTATTCCCAGATATTTATGTGTTAGTCCTAATTGATTGCCCAGTCAACTGTATTTCAAAACCAACTGTTAATAATTAGCAAGTTGTAGGGTCCTGATTAAGATTATCGGATTCGAAGCGTTTCCATGACGGTGGTGTTTTTCTTCCCTTTCAGGGTTGTTTCCTGTGTGTATATAATTCATTCATTGATGGGAACTGCACCAAACATAGATTTGATTAACACATAATATTTGCACTTGCCAAATAACACCAGCCTAGTGCGAAGATGCCAAGAGAAACTGAAAATAAGTTATGTGAAGATTTAAAATCAAAACTGAATATCAAGAATGCCTGCTGGAAGGGCGTGGATGCATTCCTGTCCGAGAACTAACACTACTTATTTGTAGCCATACATGTATATCTGCATCATATACAAAAAGCTACTGAATCGAAGATTCAATGAAGACAATGAATGCTCTTTGAAAACTACCATGGATTAAGACATAAAGGGTTTACACCTATGCTTCAATTGTTCTATCATATAGTATCTCAAAGACCAAAAATGTATGATTCACGCGTCAAATCATTCACGCGTCAACTCTGTGTTTTCAAGAACCGTGGCTTTAATGCATTGGATACAATCATGGTTGATTCCAGGACACAATCACGACATTAAAGACATTCACAGATATGTCCCTGTATTGGCAGGTTCTTTGAACTGAGAACCAAGCATGGTTAAGTAGATTTTGTGGTCTACCTGGTAACCTTCTAATCTTATGGTAATCTGTACAGTATCTTCCAGCATTTGACTAACTTGCGCATGTTGAATATGAACCCTTCATATTAAATCATGGATTGTGAAAAGACTTTCAATTACCATTGTTTTTTAAATCCCACTAGTTAACTGTAATGTTTGTATATTTATTGGAAATGCGTTGGTTTTTATGACCGAGTTGATCTTGGTACCAAGTTGAACTTGGTTGGAGTTGCATTATACTTTATACAGTAGTCTCAATTTGCAAAATGGGCTTTGAATTTGCTTCAGTTTTTGAAAAACGCGAAATAGGTATCTAAAGCACGTCAAAGTTTAGTTGAAGATCAATTATAACTTAACTTCGGCGTTTTTCGTGCAGTCGTCATCTCTTACTCTATTCCGTACCCTACATAATTTGAAGCACATTCAGATCGACACATTTGTAGTGTTTTAGATATAGCAATGTTAGTGTATAATAGTGTGTAGCAGTTTTTGAAACAACATAATAGTTGCATTTGTTACACTTTCTCGTCTACAGTGTTTTGAGTAATACAGTTAATTTGAATAATACTATATTGTAAAATCGTTATGTAAAACCCCATGCCATGATATTGTTAGCTTAGTCACTTAGACAACAATGTTAATAAGTGGCTAAGTACGGCTAAGTTCCCCTTTTGAATTTTTTTTAAAGAAATATGAATGAAATGGCAGGTTTACATCGATGTTCCTTGACTTTCAGATAATCTCAAATTGTTCTTTTATTTTCTGTATTCTCTCTCGCAGACGCATAATATGAGTTTTCCGATGTGGTCATTTTGAAATACTTCCTACTTTGGAAGGGAGGAACCCCTGTTGTTTTTCTCATAGAGGAACCCCTGTTGTTTTCTGAACAGTACACCAGAAACAGTACAAGGAAATAAACCGTACCAGGATTTAGTCATCCGCTCGAAGAAGTTTTAGCTTCAGCATATTAACTGATGGCTTCTGGCTCTGATATAGATTTATTATGATCTTATGTTGAATACGAACCCTTCTTCATGGATTGTGAACACTTTCAATTACCATTGCCATTGGGCATTGTTTTGTTTTAAATCCCACTAGTTAGTTGTAATGTTTATATATTATTTACTGGAAAAGCGTTATAGTACTCTTTGCAAAATGGGCTCTGAATTTGCTTCAGTTTTTGAAAAACGCGGAATAGGTATAAACAATAATATACACACCATCTATACACACCAGTTGGTTGACTAGTAGAGTAGACTGAAAACTCACTAATTTCCTATTCTATGTTTGAAATAGCGAGTTTTCATTGATTGCTTTTAGCACCTCTGTTCACACAAGATCCCGTTCATGCACGAATTTTTACCAAAAAATTATTTAAATTATGTATTAAAATAATTTCATTACACTCTGATTTTTACGAAACGGGGAATTTAGTAAATGTTTCGTTTCGTGATTTAGTAAATTTTAAACACAAACTTTAGCATTACTAGCTTTCGAATTCTTTCAAAATGGCTGCCAAAGCATGAGTGAAATTTTTCGAATTAAGTATTTATCTCGCGTTAGTTCATTTGTAAAGTGATAAAACAGAGAAGAAATATGGAGCAGGAAGATTTGGAAGAAATGAAACTTATTAGAGGTAAGGTTTCCATCAGCCCCAGTCATGGAATGCACCCTGATCAGTATTACAGTGCGTCTACTGTAAGTGGGGCCACTTAGAGAACACTAACCAATCGCATTGCAGAACAGAAAGAAAAATCTAATCAAACTAAAGCTCGTCCAATCAAAAGAAAGATTCAGGAAGCCATAAACTGCAGTGTTTACTTTTACATGTCTATTTTTACCGTTTGACATTCGTTTATTTGTTCGAATTGTTTTTGCCCTAATGCTGATTGGCTAATGCGCCGTTTCTTGATTTTTTCACTTTCTGTTCTGCAATGTGATTGGTTAGTGTTCTCTAAGTGGCCCCACTTACTGTAGACGCACTGTAATAGACCTATATATTTTGGCATTCAACAATAGAGGCCCTTGAAGCGGGCAGTTGAAGGGGTTATGACCGACAGGTGACATTCCTTAAAAAGAGGCGGAAGACTAGGCGGTCCAGCTTCTGACTCGGAAAAAGCAGCAAATTGCGATATGTGTTATGATGGGTCAAAAGTCTGCCTCGTCCCCAGTCGCTTGCTATCAAATAATTAATTAGTAAAAGACGAAAATTTTCCCAGCATGCATCACAACAGATTTGTTCAGCCACTGATCTATATATTAAACTGATATGTCTATATATACACTGATCTACAAACAGTAAGGGCCTGCGGAGGAGGCAGGGTCAAAAGTGACATGACGTCATGACGTGTATTACAATATTAATAATTGCGACAAAGCAGCTACAAAATGAATGACAATTAAGTGACCTTCGTTACACCCTATGTTACTGTCCAGCTGCTAAATACAGCAGCATCATAAAGTTTGTGTTTTGGCAGGAAATAACCCCGACCATTAATATTAATTTTCCCACCAAAACATGCATTGGTGTACGTCTGCGAAACTGGGGTCTAGCCAACATAAGTAACTGCATTACATTTTAATGTAGAAGCAAAGCAGAAAGATATGCCTACAAACCCAACCACACAAAACAATCCATCACCTAGCTCTTCAAAAGGTATGTTGCTGTAGGAAACTGGAAGGTGCATCATTAGAGTTAATTATGTAGTGTGTGCCTCTGCACTCTACTGACTCCAAAAAAATTAGGAATCTACAGGTATACCCCTGTCGACCCCTCACCACTGCTTCACAAAGGTAATGGTGCAGTAAAAGAGTGTAACATGACTCTGAGGGTATGAAAAGTCTGAGGATATGAAAAGTCTGAGCTAAACATGTTGCTGTAAATATTTTTCCTAGAACAAGAAGGCAGTCAAGAGGGAGTGTCATCATTAATGGGCTTTTCTGGATTTGGTAGGTTTTCGTATAATTACAATTTGGGCTCTAGTAAATGTATGAAATGTTTGCAAATGAGAGACAGGGAGGCCAATTAATTTACTAAGCAGTGGCGGCCAGGCATGTGTCGGGATGGTTTCTGCCTTTAGCATTTGGGTAGAAATCAGGGTCTTAAATAGGCCTTAAACTCATATAAAGTGGGTTTTTGAAGTGTCATTTTCACCAGCTCTCACAAACAGAAAAAAGTGGCAATGAAAGTATTTTATAGTTTACCCTTTCTTAAATACTGTGGTAAAATAGGGAGGAAAGCTCGACAGTTTGATATTAATGAAATGATGGCGATAGCCAAGAGAAGAGCAGCTGATGCAGCAGAGGAAAAGTCTAAAGCCAAAGGTGAGCTTTTATGCAAGTGTGTTTTGGTTCTTGAAATATGCTGGAGAGTGCTTAATACCTTGACAAGAAAGCAAATAGTATACGGTAGGCTTGTTTGAAATAAATAAATAATAAATAATGAATATATTTGCAAGGTGATGATGATGATTTAAGTGATGATGAGGCACCATTTGTCATTATGCCACCAGGAAAAGAACCATCTGAAAATGATATGGTATGATTGCTTCCTAATGTATTATTTATATATACAGATTTCTATAACAATATGTATCCAGTCAGATGTTCTCTGGCCTGGCCAGCTAGGGGGTGCGCTACCACTCAATGGGTTAAAACCAGAGAATGTCTACAAACTTATTAATTGCTCAAGCTAGGTAGCTAATGTACTTGACTTGCTCAATGTAGCTAATGTACAGCTATAAGACTGCAATGAATTTTGAACTAATTGTTTTATCAGAGTACTAGAGAAGGCAGAAAAGAGAATAAAGATAGTGATGATGATGACGACAGTGATAGTGAAGTATGAATTGAAACCATATTGTTTGCCTTTAAGATGTTGAAATAAATTAACATGAGGCATTGATGTTCATTGTGTTTTATTTCTGTTTACAATCCTCTTTTAAACCCCAATATAGAGCATGGAGTCATCCATACCTTGCAGTCACGAAATCACATTGGAACATGGGGCAAAGACTGTAAGTTTCTTTGTGCTGCTGTGCATTTCAGTAATCAACTAGATTAAACTGTAGGCCAGGAAGATTGTAGCAATGTTTGCATGGTGAGTGTTACAATTATGGGAAGAGCAAGTTAGAATGTTTTCTTTGTTTCCAGGTTTCAGCTCTGTCATTGGATACAAGTGGCTCCCGAGTTATATCTGGTGGGCATGATTACGATGTTAGTATTGAGGATCAGAAATCTGAAAACAAAGCGAAGAATTGTCACATACCCTGTGTTTGGATCATACTTCCTTAAGTTGACCTTTTAAGCTTAAGATTAGTTGTAAATAGTTCAAACATTGTGAATCACAAATTAATCTTTTAGGTGCAATTAATGCCCCATAATACACACTATTTTATGATTTTACTCTGCCGGACAATTTTATCCTGTCCAACACCAGACAATTTTACTTGTCAAGGGAGATTCTACTTGAGTGCTGGCACTCAATGGGTTACAGTACCATTCAGGGTGCGATAATTCGCGTACTTACGTACCGGAGATGTCTTGGCATGAAACATGATTGCACTGATGGCACTAAGAAAAGTTGGAGTCGTTTGTTTGAAAGAGCAAAACTCCGTTTTTAAATAGCAAAACACCCTTTTCAAATAGCAAAACTCCCTTTTCAAATAGCAAAACTCCCTTTCCAAATAGCAAAACACCCTTTTCAAATAGCAAAACTCCCATTTCAAATAGCAAAACTCACGCGATGGCCAAGCCACCCCGCACGCTGCAGGCCTCAAATACCCTTTTCAATTAGCAAAACTCCCTTTTCAAATGGCAAAACTCCCTTTTCAAATAGCAAAACTCCGTTTGCTATCTCGTAGTCTGGACATACTTTTCAGAAACCTGTACTTTATGAACCTTATTTCTAAAGACTAAGTACACATTGAGTACTGAGTTTGTTCTAGCGCAAGTACGCGGCAACAACCATTGGCGTACCAGTCAGGTACGACTAGAAATCTTGAATGATCGTACCCTGTGTACTATATAGTAACCAGAAAAGTTTTCCCATAGGTATTTCTGTTACCAAAGATTGTCTCTTTGCATTGCATCTGTAGATAAAATTTTGGGACTTTAATGCGATGGGTGCATCATTGTCTGCATTCAGAAATATCCAACCTTGTGGTTGTCATCAAATCCGTTCGTTGGAATATAGCTCGACTGGAGACACAATTCTTGTTTGTTCTGGCAATGCTCAGGCAAAGATATTGGACCGTGATGGCTTTGAAGCTATGGAATGTGTCAAAGGATATCAGTATTTATTTGATATGGCCAAGACAAAGGTACTTTTTACTGTATCACTTTCTTGTTCATCCTGCCAACTGTTCCATACTTTCATTCTATCACTCCATTCAATTAATTCTTCAACTATTAGTTATGAAACCAATCGCACATTACTGAGACAATTGGTCGAACAATCAATTAAATAATCAAGCAAGGCAATCAGCAGTCAATAATGTATTATATCTATTGTTTTATCCTTTCATTCAATCACTCCATCTAACCAATTAATAGCAATCATTTATACAGTTACTGTTTTAATTAGAGACACTAAATTCACAGACTCACATGCAGGGTTCGTACGGGTCCTGGAAAGTCATGGAATTTCAATATTCCAAAATCCAGGCCTGGAAATCCTAGAAAATCAATTTTAGTCATGGAAAATTGAAATTTTACAAAACATTAACAAAGCATTTTAATTACTTATTTCAATTTACCAGTCATAACAATAATATGAATTGTTGTCATAACGGATTTTTGCAAGAGCGAAGTGAATTTTGTTCTTTTATTATATCTGTCATCGTTAAAATATTAACGAATTTCAGAAATTTAAGAGCCTGGTTACGAGGTTGCAGAAATTTCAGGTCATGGATTTAAAAAAAAATGGTCATGGGAAGTCATGGAATTTTAAATGGGAGACGGTGTACGAACCCTGCACATGTTATTAATCCCCCATTCCCCCTCCCCCTCCCTCAAAATAGAATCCTGGTAGCTTTTCACTGGTAATATCATATCCTATAGGGTCATGTTTCCATGTTGAATGGTGGTTGCTGGCATCCAAAGGATCGGGATAAATTTATGACGTGTGGTGATGATGGGTAAGACAACAAATACATTGGATTACCCAGGGTATCTTCCATCTATAAACTTTTTACATCTTTATTTGCAGTACAGTGAGGCTATGGGATGTGAACGTGCCTAAAAAGAATATCAATGTATTGAAGACAAAAAGTATCCAGGGTAGGTTTCGGAATTTATTCAAATACATATTTTAAATGTAAAGGTTTGGGTTGTCGTAGTATTCCTTTCGTGATTATGGTTCATTTTCTATAACTGTAAGCATGAATGAAAAGCTTATGAAAATTGTATTATTTCAGGTAAAAAAGCTGTTCCAACGCACTGTGCATACAGCAAAGATGCTAAATATATCGTCGCTGGTGTCCAGGTAGCATGAGTTAGAAATACTTTCTTACTTTTGTCTTTTATTTCACATATATCTCATTCAGTGTGGTCAGACCATTTCTAAGCAGGATTTATCTCCAGATTAAGGCATGATCCGACCTCCTTTCATCGCAGAAACTGAATAGTTTCCTTTTTTCTTAGGATGGAACCATTCATGTGTGGGACACCAAGAAACCGTTTGTAAGTAAAATGTATTCAATTATACAAATGCCATGCATGGTCAAAGATCAAAACAAACTTGCATCAAGCTTTAGCATATTTCTGAAATCTGCATTCTTTTCTCCCAGGTTCATCCAACATTTTTGATCAAGAATGCTCACGCTAACGGAAGTGACATTTCATGTTTGAGATTCACCTATGATAGCAATATATTTGCCTCAAGAGGAGGTTAGTCATTGTTCTCTACTTCCAGAATTTATCAGCCATGTATAATGGCTAACATTTGCATATAACTTTCTCAAGCGTTCCATTATACCTCAGTGGTAAGAGCGCTGGAATGTTAAGCCAGGGACCTTGGTTTCGATTCCACATTCGGAACTCATTTTTCACGACAAGACATTTGACTCCATTTGAACACACTAAGTTACTTTTCCAACACTGTTGAGGGCGACAACAATAAAAGAGAGGATAAAATACTTGTATTTTCGTCAGGAGATGACTCCATGAAACTGTGGGATCTGCGAAACATCAAGAAACCAGTGAATGTTGCTCTTAACCTTCCAAATGCTTTCTTAACGTAAGTTTAAATGATGGAGTTTGGTCGTTTGTAAACGTCTTGGTTATACTCTAAATTCCACCTCTGTCTGTAGTTTAAAGGAGGTTTACGTCGTCTCTCTAGGTTCTCAGAAACAAACTAACTTTGGTTCAAAACAATTTGGGCTGAATTCCTTCATAAAACGATATTTTTGCTTTAGGACAAGTTGTTTCTTCAGTCCAGATGAAAAACTTATTGGAACAGGCACATCAGTACGCAAAGGACAGGTAATGGATTCATCATTTCTATATTCTTATGACAGTGATTCTCTTCGCTTCATAATTTTACCGTCTTAATTACCATTTTTCAGGGAAATGGGAAGTTGGTATTCTACGAAAAATCCACCTTTAAAAAAGTCCACGAGTATTCTGTTACAGATTCTGTAAGAGTTTTTTTCAATTTTTTATCTTCCCCTGAAGTAGCAAGAATACAGAGTCCTGTAGAGGCATTGCTTAAGCTACTGTGTATTTAGTGTTTTCATTATTATTTGTTATTTTTTTCTTCAGAGTGCCGTCAGTTGCATGTGGCATCCAAAGATTAACCAAATTTTGGTTGGTTGTGGTAATGGAAAAGTTAAAGTTTTCTTTGATCCACAGCGAAGTACAAGGTAAGAGATTTTGTCTTATTCTGGTGATGAATTTCTTTATTATGAAGAAGAAATTGGAGAATGCCTTGCATGGGACTCACAGTCCTGTGCGCACTCCTGCCGCTTGGGCGTTGCCCAATAAGGTTAAGAAATTATTTTTGACATCATGATACTTTTTGCAGGGGAGCAATCATGTGCGTTTCAAAGGCGACGAAGAAAAGCCAGATTCGTGAAATGCAACTTCCTCCAAGGATTATTACACGTAAGACTTTTTTAAAAGTGGTGTTGTGCTTAGGATTAAAAATTGAATTGTGATTATCATTGCAAGGATGATTACATATTGTTAAAGGGTCGAAATGTCAAGTCCGTATTGAGTACAACGAATCTACTCGTTAACTAAAAGATTCATTTCTCTCTACCAGCCCATGCTCTGCCAATGTTCCGACAAAATCAAGGTGGTGCCACAATGAAGAAAGTGAAAGATAAAGAACGTGCCGATCCCATCAAGTCACGAAAACCAGAAACCCCTCTCACTGGCGCAGGTAATGTAAAATCAAATGATTCTTTTATTGCTTGCAACCATTTTTCAATTATCATTTAAGCAATATCAACGAATGTTGATATGCAATTTTTCTTGTTGATATTGCTATTTTTCTTGTTAGGAAAGGGAGGCCGAGTTGCTTCTGGTATCAGTTTATCCCAATTCGTTTCTAAGAATTTGGCTGTAAAGAATCTTGACGACTCCAATCCTCGGGAATCTATTCTCCGTCATGCGAAAGTATTATTAATTATCTTATATATTATATGTGGGAATAAAATGCTGGTATTATTCGAAGAAAATCATCTTTAGAAATGACTAAAACAACTGCTTTACGAGAAAAAAATTATATACGTCTCAAATGGTTACACCATGACCTTCTCGAAGTGCATCCCAACGACCTTGTAGAGGTATTGCTTACAGCATTACTAATACATTATCAATGTTAAGCTTAACCTTATACGTTTTGTAGGAGGCTGCTGAGAATCCATTTTGGGTGAGCCCCGCCTATTCCAAGTAAGTATCCCGTTTGAATCTCGCTATACGTTTCTGTTTTGCCCTTCGTGTGACATTATCACTCTTTCTGCTTATTCTCACTGGATGGTGATCTCAGTGCTTTCGCCACCACACACACTCTTGGACAGGGTGTCCACGGGCCTTGAAAATGCTGGAAAGTCCTTGAATTGGAAAAAAAATTCCAGGCCTGGAAAGTCCTTGAAAATCAGTAGAAGTCCTTGAAAGTCGTGGAATTAATTACTTTAACCTTCAGCTGTGCCAACATTAGTGATTTTGATTAAAATTACTGAATAAAACAATTATTTACGGCAAATCCGTGCCCGCATTTTCAAAGATTTTTCCCAGTTCTAGGTCCTTGAATTTACTGAAAAAGGGCCTTGAAAGTCCTGGAATTTCACCTTCACCAAATTAGGGTGGACACCCTGCTTAGAACGGCATAACTTGTGTACTCCAGTAGCTACAATAATTAGTCAATCCTATTATGCACACCTAATAATCTTGTCTAGAACTCAACCGCGGACAATCCTTGCTGAAGATGATGATGAAGAAGAAGATGATGATGAAAGCAAGGCAAAGAAACCGAAGCTTTCGTGAACTCCATAGTATAGCATGCGAATCGCACTAGTTTACTGAATACAACGATGTGGAGAGTATTGATGAAGCAAGAATTATATGTTGTACTTCAAGACAGGAATTGAGACAGTAGACTGAAGTTTTCGTACTAACAATACTTCATGTGGCAAATAATGTGGAATCATTGGTGATATTTAAAATCAACTGCAATTTGGATTAATACTTCGGGGTTACAAGGAATAACAACGGCTTGCCAAAGACTACGTAACAGACGTAGCATTTCCAGCTCGAACGACTGAATTTTTTTGACAGAATTTCATTTCAATTTCATTTCAGTCATCTTCTCCCACACAGAAACCTAACATCAGGCATTTTGAGTCACATGGCTTCTGAAAGGAATTATCTTGGCATTTATCCAGACTTGCCCCACGAACGAGATCAAGGAAATTATGCTCTATACAATATAAAATATAAAATGAGGACAACATAAGAAATTCATTGACAATGAACGGAAATGAATCTTGACAAATAAAGAGCTTTTAAATAAACATTTAGTTGTCAGTTTTACATATTTAAAACTTTGTAATATAAACAAAACACGCCTTTCCTTTTAAATATTGCATTTCCTTTGAGCAACGCCGGTTTGATGCCAAATGTCGGATGTTGTGCACTTGTGCCTCCAATTTCAATTTATAAGTAGTTTGCAATATCTTTTTTCTTAGACTACAGAAGTTGGCAGTGCTTTTATTTGATTTGTTTGTTTGTTGAAGATGCTACTTTGCCTTTCCTAAGAACGTCGAATGCAGGTTTCTGTGTGTTAATGCTACTGTAACAACTTTTACAACAAAATACCTGTATTTGAGGAACACTACCTGTATGTTAAACCACAAAAGTTCAAGGGGACAAGCCTGACCTTCTCATTGCACAGCTAAATGCCGCAAGCTACGATTAATTAAGTCCGCTCAAGAGCCTCAGACGAAGCTAACAGCAATGTGTTTATGTGAAATATGATACCATTGCAGTAACTTGATATACATCATTTGGTGCGTGTCGGCGTCCTGTAGTGCTAGCACTCCAAACATACGGAAGTGTTGCCCTTCATTATGAACTAACATGCTTTTGTGTGCTGCATATCAGCATTGCTGCGTTCAAGTTTAACTCCCCCGTGTATTCTCCGACTGGCAGGACCCTTTGAAAAGGATCACAACAACATCCAGAATGCCAGCGGCGGCCTTCTATGGCTGGGCATCGCCAGACCTGTCGGAAGAATTAACTGTAGATTGTTTTCTTCCAACTGGCGTATTGGTTCCCTTAGAGTGTAAAGTCAACGAAACTTTGGCTGAAATCAAGACAAAACTATTCGAAACAGCGCAGAATTATCCGTTGTTTAACCGTCTCGAAGAAGAGTCAAACTATTGCTTTCTATGTATAAACGAGAAAGGTAAACGCGAGACATTGTTTGACGAAAGTCTGAAACTCACAGACGTGAGACCATTCCGTCCTGTGCTCAAACTTCTAGAGAAACAGGGTGACGACAAAGGAGAAAGCAAACTTAACGCGAAAATTAAATTCCTAATGCGACAAACTCCCGCAGAACTTGAAGGAAAACAGAATGAGGAAGTGATAAACTTCAGACAGGAGTATTTAAAAATTTCTCTCAATGAATCGCGTGAGAGACGAAAGTCGAGCTGGGAAGAGCGCGCTGCGTCGACCTTTCCTTCGGATGTTTGTATGGATCCTATTCCAGACTATGTTTCAAGGAATCTTCGCAATGGTAAATGTGATCTTATCGTATATCTTCCACCGGGTGACGACTTCGAACGTCTTGAAATACCAACTGGTATTAACGCGTCTGATGTCGTGTATGTATTCAGAAGTCGTTCTGAAGCGCGGAGAAGAAGCATTGCAAACGACAAAGATTATGTGCTAAAAATAGTTGGAAAAGACGAATATTTGTTGGGAAATTATAATATGGAAAATTATCAGGTTTGTATTGGATTATTTCATATTTATTACTATATGGTTTCATTTTATTGTTCGACCTTGCCTATCAAAGTTGCACGTTTGGGCTTGAAAAGTTAGCTATAATATATTATTAGTAGGTATCATATTTCTATTTTCCCTTGAGCTATATTTTGAAGGTATGTGATGTCGTATATAATAAATATGAATTTATATTATTATTAGGGATTATTTAAATATAATAGTATGATGCATGGTTTGCCACTAGTTATTTAATAGGCATAATATCTAGGTTACGACTTGTAATATTTTTTGCATCTAATTTGCATCATAAAATTTTGTTATCGACATTCTCAACATATGATGATATGATTCTCGTGCAAGTTTCCTGTCGACGTGAGCCAAAACCCTCGATCATTAAAACTACGTGCAAGTTAATTTGAAACAATACTATATTGTAAAATCATGTAAAACACCATGGCCAGCACCCGTGGACATTAAAGTTTACCCTAATATTGATAGCTTAGGTAAACAATGTTGACTAGTTCTCCACAGGAATTTCGCAGTATTGAAATGAATAAATGAAAGAAGAAATGGGAAGAGAGAAAAACAATGTGCTAGTAGGGTGGGAAAAGTTGACAACTTGAAACAAAGCCAAAAGTGTTGAGAGATAAAAGCCCGTTTCATTTGCAACTCTGACAGATCAGGATAGATTTGGAGAGGGAGGTTACCATACTATTACATTGTCTGCTGAATTGCACTTCTTCAAACTTTTAAAATAGATTCTGACACTTGGTTGAGGGTTTTCCGTTATTTCATTTAATAATAGGAAAACTGAAACGTCATCATTAAACAATTGTAAATTGTGACAATTGTGAATGAAGTTCCCCTTTTAAAATGAAATGGCATTATGGCAGGCTTACATCTTCCTTGACTTTCCGATGATCTCAATTTTTTGTTATTTCTTTATTCTGTTTCGCAGAGATAGCCCGCTCGCAGTCACAGAGTAGAGACATACAGAGACGTAACTAGTGTAGTAGTGTACCCACTTTTTGTGTGCGCATGCTCGGCAAGTTACTAGATGCATGCATCTAATGGACCACTTGCGTAATAGACTAAATTTTGATCTCAACAAAAATTTCATCACAGCTTGAAAGAGCATCACAAGATTAGTAATATTCCAAAGTTTCGTTGCGAAATGTTGTAAAATGCGGAAAATATAGCCTTGCGAAGTTTGCCGTTTTTCAGTCATTTTAGATTACAAACGGGAAATTGACAGCCCATATTTTCCGCATTTTACAACATTGCGCAACGAAACTTTGGAATATTACTAATTTTGTGATGCTCTTTCAAGCTGTGATGAAATTTAGTCTATTACGCAAATGGTCAATTGGATGACGACCTGATGACTCCATAGATGATGACTCACTTTAAACTTGCTGAGCACGCGCAGTTGATCATTTTTTGCCCGGTCGCCTGAAAAAAAGTGGGTACATGAAAACGTAAGCTTCCGCAGTACGTGTTTACAACGGTCAGTTACATCCATTAGTCATAGATATTATGGTTACATCTCTGTATGTGTCGCAGTCGAGCAGGCTATATCAGACGCCGTCATTTTTAAATATTTCCTTTGGGAGGGGAGGGACCCCTGTTGTTTTGTCGACCACGAAACACGGAAGTAATCGTAGCACTAGCAGCAATTAATCTTCCGCTCGAACTCCTCGAAGACGTTTTCGCTTCAGCATTATTACATGTAAACATGGCTCCTGCCATGGATTTTATCCAATGGAACTCCTCGGATATATCAGTCAAAGTCGAAGTAAACTGTTTTCTACCAACTGGCGTTTTGGTCCCAATCATGTCCACCATAAATACGAGTTTAGCCGAGATAAAACGTCAGCTTTTCTTCGAAGCGCGGGCATATCCATTGTACAAGAAATTATTGGCTCCAGCGCAGTATAACTTCATCTGTATCAGTAATAAAGGCAAGCGAGAAACTATCGAAGATGAACGATTAACTCTCCGAGATGTGAGACCTTTTCGGCCATTTTTAAAGCTGGTCGAGTGCCAAGGTGTCCGAGAGAAGGAAATACAAGACTCGAAGATTAAATTCCTCATGGGCAAAACACCGCGAGAATTTGATGCAACAAATGATGTTCAAAAAGCGTTATTTCGCACAAAATATGCTAAAATTGCAAAGAAAATTTCCGATGAAAGAAAGCAAAAAGAATGGGATGACCGGTCCATCTGTACTTTTCCTCCGGATTTGTACGATTCCAAAGAGATTCCAAAACATATCGCAGCCAAATTAGTTGATAATACATTCTTGGTCTCAGTTCATAGATTAACTGAGAATGGCGATTGTCATGATTTTCATGCTTTCCGCGATGGGAAACCGAGCGATGTTCTCGCCAAAGCCTTACAGATCAAAGCTGAGAAACTCAGACGTACTGTAGACGAAATGAGTAATTTTACTTTGAAAATCAAGGGAAAGGAATCTTATTTGTTGGGAAATTATCCCCTACTACAGTACAAGGTAGTTGAAATGTACCTTATTTAGGGTTCGATTCATTTGTTTACACATGTACACTGGTAAACAATCAATCAACAAACAATTATGTTAGCAAAAGTAACAAATTATACAATGAGTAAACAAAAGGGGAAAACAAACTCAGCAATAAGTAGCAATTGAGGAAGTGTTAGATCAAAGGTATTCAATTTCTCAGATAGAAAAGTTTAGAAAGGTTTTAGGCTTAGGATAAAAAAAGTTTTACCTTTTCTAATAGCCATGACTAATTGACGGCCCCCCAAAAATGCCCCCAGTCCCAGGAAACCGAGTATTTTGAAAGCTTTACAACCTAGTTCATTATAATAAGCAGCTTTCCTCTTATTGTAGTATATCCGTGACTGCATTGCAAGAGAAGTTAAACCAGAACTATCTGTTGTTCCCAAGAGTTCATTGAAGGTGGAAGATTATGCACCGATGGTTGCAGAGGCTTCATCACCACCTCCAATACCACCAAAAGCTTCTCTCACTGTGTGGGATATTAATTCCAGGTTCAAGTTTAAAATCACATCTGCAACCAATATTTCAATCGAAACTGGAACTGAGGTAAGAGTATTTGTTGTTCGCACAATATTTTCATAGTTGCTGTGAATAGAAATCTGCAATGATGTGAGCTTGATTCCTGCTGGGGTACTTGAGTACTTGTGCTTAGCACAGGTATAATATGATATTATAGAAGGGTTTTTTAGCTCGAGATAGCTGAAAATTATCCAGTGCAAATTTTTAAAAAATAATAAATGTATATATTTAATAAATGTACTGGTACATAAGATTTAATATTAGAATGTTACGGTTTGTAATCCAAGTGAGTATATATACATTTTAAGACCTGACGAGGAACGACTGCGAAAAATGCAGCACAAGATCCTCTGTTAGGAATTGAACCTACGGCCCTGCGATTCCGGTGCAGCACTCTAACCAACTAAGCTACAGAGGCCAGCTGTTGAGCTGTAACCATAAGTTCATGTATATATAGGTAATCGGGTGAGATAAGATTTACACTCGTAATAGTAGTAAACGTTCTACTATTATTCAACTGAGTGTGATGCCAACAAAATCTTGATAATATGATACAATTGTTATTCATGTTTATTTGGATAGATTGGAGTTCGGGCAGGTTTGTACCATGGAAGTATGTTGCTATGTCCTGTAAAATGTTCTCGAGAAAAGCAAGGCCCTGCTCCTGTTTGGAATGAGTACCTTGAGTTTGACATCAGCATGTGTGACATTCCTCGAATGGCAAAACTTTGTCTTACAATTTATGCCAAAAGAAAGAAGGTTTGTTTTAATGCTACACAGTACTATACTAAATATTTTGGTCACACCAGGGAGGTACAATAATAGCACAGACCTATGAACCAGTTAATTTTAAAATGTTCAGTGCATGCATAATTAATCAACCAAATTTATATACAATTAGGACAGCAAAATACCTTTGGCTTGGGTAAACATGACGCTGTTTGATTTCCGCAACTACCTACGGCAAGGCCAAATAATACTCCATGCCTGGCCAGTGAAAGATAACCTTCAAGACCTCAATCCGATTGGTACAGTTGTGTCAAATATCAATACCAGCACCTCGGCATGTTTGATAATTGAGTTCTCACAGTATGCCAAGCCTGGCACCAGTGTTGTTTATCCACCATTTGATAAGGTGAGTTGAAGAGTATATAAATTTAACAACCCAGCACATGGGGGGCTAAATTTTTAAGGTCGGAAATTGCTATACAACTGAAGAAGAAATTGCTATACAACTGAAGAAGAAAGATAATTCTATATCAGACAAGACAACTATTTTGTTGGATACTTACGCCGGTTAAGTGGACAAAGAAAATTAAAACAAAAGTGCTTTGTGTTTTGTAGGTTTTAGAAAAAGCATCCACTTTGGCAGGAAATGAGCAGAAAGACATTTTTGTAAGTATCATGCTTTTGCACTTAGTTTACTACATTATCCGTAAAACTGATTCATCAAAACACACATATTTAACTATTGTGATCATTTTGTCATACTCCCTGTAGAGAGGTGGTGAGAAAACAAACATTGATTTGCAATTGCTAACTCAACGTGAACCCCTAGCTGAGTATACTGAACATGAGAAGAAGAAAATATGGTTTTTCAGGTACTGTGTCAGAGTTGCCAAGTGTGGAATATACTCCCCTGTTTATTATTATTATTATATTTATATTTATCCAGAATACCCACGTCACCGAAGTGTTTTTCAGTGGGGTCCTGCATTATAAATTTCAACTTCAATATACATATACATTACAATATACATATACATTACATTGATTAGAGAAACCAACAAAACCGTGGTCTCTTTCAAATTTTGTTTAATGCAACATTATAAGGATCTCACCAAGGAAATTTATAATCCTGAGGATCCAAGAACATTTAAGTCTGTTTGTGTGAAGTGTCACACAACTTGCCCATTGACTAACTTGTCGAATCGAGCATCTTGTTAAATTTACTGTCACATAAATTAATTCGTTGTGCTTCTGACATGTCTGTCTGTTTGTTTGTTTGTTTGTTTGTTTGTTTGTTTGTTTGTTTGTTTGTCTGCAAGCCTGTTATTGTTCATACTGTGTATTTCGAATGTCTTGGAACCCCGTTATTGGAGAACTAATCTCTGTGTGGTAATTCCAGCCATGTAATCTATTGTCTAACTAATTTTGTGTAATAGTTTGTGTTAAATGGCAAAATCTGTAAAATAACAGGCAACTTTATTCACAACATTGATGAGCCCTTGTTTTGTAATACTTTGACCCATATTTGAGATGTGTCCTAGGGCAAATCTCAAACAGTTCTGTAAAGTTTTGTTGAACTTTAATTTCAGGTTTGAATGCCGTGATAATTTTCCAAATTCACTGCCAAAAGTCTTGCTAAGTATCCAGTGGAATAATCATGAAGATGTTGCAAGAGTATGATCATTTTACAACCCTATTATCATTCCCTTTTAAGTTTTTTGTCCTTTCCATATGATTTCTTCTCATTCCCTTTTTATTTCTATTGTCATGTACCTCTCTGTAAAGGTTTGCACCAATGAGTAATGGGAAAGCTGAGGAGCCCATTTAATCAACTAAAAGACTATGACACACTTCCATACTGTTCCTGTAACACTTCCTCTTCATGAGAACTTTCTACAGAGATCTAGAGGCCTCCCCTATCTTACCATTTTATCCTCAATGACAATTTCATCCACCCATTTATCAAATTATATCCTCTTACATTATTCTCTCCAGACATCACTTATTTTACTTCCAATTCATTCTGTTCAAGTCTTGTTTAGCTTTCTTTCTGTGGATGTAATGACATACTGTATATGAATATTCACTTCAACTTACCGGCAGTACACTCACTAATATTCACTCAACACAACTTTATAACATTTCAGATGCATGCATTACTTCAGTGCTGGCCACGTATTGCTCCACAACAAGCATTGGAGTTGCTTGATTACAAATATCCTGAGAAGGAAGTGAGAGATTATGCTGTACAATGCCTGGAGAATTTCTCGTGAGTTTTTGTCTTATCTTGAATATTTGTAGAAAAATTACCACAGTACTTCTTTCATTTTCATAGAATAACTATTTAACCATGAATTTGCATTCTTACAGTACATAGTGATACTAGAATCAGGGTTCGTAGTCTCCAAGACCAAAAAGATTCTTTCAAAGATTTTTTCTGCCTATTTTCAAAGACTTTTCAAAGACCTTTGAGAGCAATCAGCTGTCGAAAAATTGCGAGTGTATAAGCACCATTTTTGCCCAGTAATTAGTCCTGCCACATCACATCTAAAAATGTACCTTTTCGTCGATATTTGCGAAAACCTTGCTTGCTCTTCAATCAATCTATTTTATTAGCTAGGAAATTGTATAATTAAATACTCAGTAAAGAATTAATTTTAAAGATTTTTAAAGACTTTCTTCGCTTTTTCACACAATTCAAAGACTTTTCAAAGACCTTAAAGACCTGCATTCAAATTTAAAGACTTTCAAGGATTTCAAAGACCGCTACGAACCCTGTAGAATAGTGCTTCTAAAAATTATGGGAACCACTGAGTATTTTTGCAGAAATACGTTTGTTTTGTCACTATATGTTTTGCTTGGTTTTCATGTAAATACCGTTGTTAATTATTAAAACTATCTTTGTTTTTTTAGTGATGGCCAACTTCATATGTACTTACTTCAGTTAGTTCAAGTATGTGGTTTTAAATACTACTGAGTACTGCACTTTTCCAAAGCTCTAAACAATATGACTGAAGTACCTCTATTTCAAGTAACTCTTGAATTAGTGAAATATGTCATGATTATGGTATCATTATGGGATGTAGAGTTTGTGTTTTTACCTTTTAGTTTAATGTAATTGTCTATGTGGGTTGTGTAAAATATTGTCTATATATTTATGTGTCAAATTAAAGCTGTTAAATTAAAAATTATACCACGTCATGATTATTGTACATATTAGTACCAGATTTGCCAAGTAAATAGTATTATTAATTATTTCATTGCAATAAATATGCATTCCATCATGTTTGTATTATTTTAAAAGGTGTTAAAGTATGAGGCATACTTGGATTGCCATTTGGCCAAATTTCTTCTAAGACGAGCTTTGTGGAATAGGAAAATTGGCCACTCCCTGTTCTGGTTGCTGAGGTAAGCTTTTCAAGGCTGAAGCTTTTAAGCTTCATGTAAATAGTACTTAAAAGTACTATTTACAACATTAGCTGGCGTGTTGTATCAACACCGACATAAATGTTGTAAATGGCTTGTCAAACGTACGTCTTGATGAGAACATTCGTATTCTTCAACAATTTAAAATAAATTAATGATATTTGCCCTTTGGTGAGAAAATTGAACTTAAAGTTTATGTAAATCAGCATGATTTTATATCAGAGATACAAACTTTTGTGTTTTCCTAATGAATTATTAGTATAAGTATAAGTATAAGTATAGAGTGATGTAATAGAGTATATCCAGTTATATCAAGAAAACCTAAGAGAAAGATTTTCCCTGACCAGAACGAATGAATGAATGAATGTTAAGTGAATTTGAAAGATGGAAATGCACACTACAAACATACGAGGATTGCTGAAATGGCTAGCAATTTAAATCGGTGCTCTGGTTTTAAGCTACAGTATGTTAAACTTCATTGCCCTGCGGGAATGAAGTTGTCAATAATTATAGAGGAAAAAGCTATAGTCTTAGAAACCATTATATGTGACTGTATTATTAGTCAATTAGAATATGTGGTATTTTTTGTTGAAGGGCTGAAATGCATGTTCCAGAAGTTTCAGTTCGATTTGGTTTACTACTCGAAGCTTATTGCCGAGGTTGTGTTGCACATATGGCTTCATTATCTAAACAGGTATGCTACTGATCACCATCTAGCCTTTTACAATTATGTTTTTAACCCTCCAAGCCAGCCAGAATAAGCAATGTCAGCAAAGTTGTTGTAAATCTTTCATTCAAAAATAGTTTTCTTTGTGTTTTGTTAGGTTGAAGCAATGAATAAACTGAAGGCCATTACAGAATTATTACAATGCCACGCTCTAAAAAGGACTGATGTAATGTATTAATTATTTATACATTTATTTCAAACTTAACAAGGGAAATAGGTATACAATTTATGTGGATGTACATCACTGTGGGAAACTTCACCTAAAAGAATATATTAAATAACATTCTTCATTATCGTCTTTCGAAATAGAAGGACAAGTGTGTAGAGACTATGAAGGAATGTCTGCAACAAGTCACTTTTCGTGAGGCTTTCTCTGACTTTCATTCTGTTGTGGATCCAACCTGCAAATTAAAAAACCTCAGGTAATAAATATTTATAAATACAACTAATAAATAAACAAACATAAGTTACAGTAGGTTATACTGAGCAAAGAAATGTAGATACTAAAAATATGGAGTGTGGATGCGAGATTTATTTGTTATTTATATTCAGGGTAGAAGGATGTAAAATGATGGATTCTAAGATGAGACCACTTTGGATGGTCTATGAAAATGACGACGAAATGGGTGCTCCTACAACTCTTATTTTTAAGAATGGTGACGGTGAGTTTCTGGGCCTTTTTATCTTGGAAGTCGTTTTAGATTTTCTTTCAAGAGTGACAGCATGCTAGTACTTTCTACAGGAATGATGCTTTGGTAATACCCTGATAATTGAATAAGATATTTTATTTCAGATCTTCGTCAAGACATGCTGACTCTACAAATATTCAAGATCATGGATACTTTATGGCAGAGAGAGGGTCTTAATCTGCAGTGAGTATAGTAATAGCAATTGGATTACAAATTGAGAGATTTTCTGTTTTCTAATTAAACGATCAATATAAACAGGGTGGAAGTTTCAGAAAGAAAACTAGTTGTGTATGTGACCTTATTTAGAATTTTTTCCTTTAGAATGACTCCTTATGCTGTCTTACCCACGGGTGACAAAATTGGTGTCATTGAAGTTGTTACAAAGGCATCTACCTTAGCCAATATTCAGAAATCGAGAGGTGGAGTTGTCAAAGGTGCATTCAAAAAGGAAGTTTTACTGGATTGGCTGAAGAGCAAAAATCACACTAACGAGATGTAACTTTTGCAATTCATGTTATTTTATAATTCTTCTCGAGACTTGTATAATATTTGCAACATGTAAAAATTTCAAACATTTCTACCGAAGTTACACTAAGCCGTTCAGTTTTCGGGTATAAGTAAAAACAGCTAGTGTGAAGGGTTCGTTTTCACATTTTTAGGTTGAAACGGGCTATAGACGCTTTCACCATGTCTTGTGCTGGGTACTGTGTAGCAACGTACGTGTTGGGTGTTGGTGATCGCCATAGTGATAACATTATGGTGAAAGAAACTGGACAGGTACGAGAATATTGTGTAAAACCCACCATAAATTGAAAATTCGTAGACTTCGAAAATGATCTTTGAGATTTTTGAGGCTCATACCACCTATGCGTAACTTCATGCCAGTACTTTCTGTCGTTAAAAATGTTTATTTCTTTGTAACAAACACATTTAAAGCAACTATAAAGTGATTTCTGATCGTCATTTTTTTCGAAGAGTAACATGTATTACCAATATTTTACTTTTCTAGCTTGTCCATATCGACTTTGGACATTTTCTCGGAAACTTTAAGGTGAAGTTTGGTGTGAATCGAGAACGAGTGCCATTTATCCTCTCACGTGATTTTGTGTATGTCATAACCAATGGACAAAAGTCTGACAAATGTCCTGCATTTTTAAGGTTGGTTAGAAAACAAAATTTAAAGATAAAAAATAATAACCGGGGTAGGTAGATAACAAGAAAAAGAACGTAATAACTTTGTCTGAACAAATTTGTGTTAATTTTTAGTTTCAGGGAGATCTGTGAAAGAGCTTACTTAATCTTACGAAAACATAATTATTTGTTCATCAACCTCTTCACTATGATGCTTTCAACAGGTTTGATTTTATTACTTTAAAAAATTATACCATACTTATTATTAACCAAGCAAAGATTTGATTATCTAATAATTATTACTTTTAATATTTAATAAAACTTAGGTCTTCCAGAACTTCGTTCAGTCGAAGATATCGAATATCTTAAGAAAACTCTTGGTTTGAACAGTGGACAAATGAATGCAGAAGAAGCGGAAAAAGCTGCTTTGCTGAAATTTCGAAAGTGTTTTGATGAAGCATACAAGAACAGCACTAGCACAAGTTTAAATTGGGCCATTCACAATTGGGCTAAAGATAATAGATAGAAAACAATTATTTAAATAGGTTGCATTTATATAAATTCCACTAGTTAACGTTGGTTGTGTGTGGTGCAATAGGGACCTTAAGCAAACAGGACGGCAACGCGACGACGACGGCTATTCACACAATGATATTCCTGATCTCGTACAAAAGAAATGAATAATTAAAAGCCCCACGGGAGTTACAGACGTTGTGTTAGTGCTTTTTACAACGGCAAACCAGAGATTTTCACGTCTCGTGTACAACGCAAACATGTCAAGACGCGACAAGTAAAACTACAAATTTGCTCAGCAGAAGCGTTTTTAACAATAAAGCCTTCGTTTTCATCTCTTCAAACTGAATTCAATTCATATGCAGTGGATAATACATAACAACTCTTCTTCGCAATAATTTATTTGAAGTTTGTTTTGGTTGTCGTCGTCGCGTTGCCGTCGTACATGCTTAAGGTCCCTATTGGCGGTATCAGTTCATCACATACCACCAATCATAATTGTAATATTTTGTCTTAGAAAAGTTGAACACGGGCACCACAATTTTTAATTTTGTTAATCTTATTTTGGCAAATAGAAAATATACAGGTGGATCACTAGTGTAGTTGTAGTATTTTAACAAGCAGCCAGAAATATCAACATGAAATTTTTAAAGTTTTACATGTATTAATATAAAGGGTATTGCCCTTGTAGGAACAATAGGTAAAATTTTTTATCACAGTATTCGCATAGTGCAGTAATATTTGCCAAGTGGTTCTTTTAAAATACATCACAATATTATTCCGAGGTTGTTTGTGAAAATAGACATGCAACTTTAATTAATCCCCAATTTGGAGAGGGGGGATTAATATGTAAATAATGAAAATTAATATGTAATAAAAGCGAAGACCAACAACGATTTATTCCGTTAATTAATGGGCAGCAGTCACGATACAGGTTTTAAAAGGTTATAGATTCATGTCTCGCTATTTATAATGCTAACCCCGATCCCCACCCTAACCCTAACCGCTAACCCTATTAGCGAGACATGAATCTATATCCTTTTAAAAGTAAAAAATTATAAACTCGGGCATGGCGCATAAGTGTTTTCCTAAAAGTTCACAGCTTTATTAAAACCACACATTAAATACAACAGAAATATTTTATTTTACATTTGTTTTCTTTGACCATAAATAAAGCCATGTAAAAATATTGACCACACGTACTTTAAAATGAAATTACTAATTAACAGTTATATTTACAAGGTAAGTACTCTAGAGGTGTGCATCGGATCGGATTGAACGTTTATAATCCGACAATTGGCTAATGTTTAAAATTCGATCCGAAATTGTCGAATCCGATCCGACTTTTGATAAAGAATTCCGATCCGAAGAACCTTTAATAAAATAAATTTCTCATTCAAGTGGAAATATTTAACCAAATAATAATTAATTCATTTTATTTCGAATATCGAAGTCCGATCCGACTACGAAACAACTTTATCAATCCAATCCGAAATGAATATTTTTGTTCCGAAATCCGAACGAATCGGATTTGCACACCTCCAGTAAGTACCATCATAAAGGTCGGTTTCCATTTCAGTCGCTTTGCCCGCGCGGGCGGGCTTTGAAAATGTGTTTTCATTATTATTTGTTATTTTTTTCTTCAGAGTGCCGTCAGTTGCATGTGGCATCCAAAGATTAACCAAGTTTTAGTTGGTTGTGGTAATGGAAAAGTTAAAGTTTTCTTTGATCCACAGCGAAGTACAAGGTAAGAGATTTTGTCTTATTCTGGTGATGAATTTCTTTATTATGAAGAAGAAATTGGAGAATGCCTTGCATGGGACTCACATTTTTGGGCGTTGCCCAATAAGGTTAAGAAATTATTTTTGACATCATGATACTTTTTGCAGGGGAGCAATCATGTGCGTTTCAAAGGCGACGAAGAAAAGCCAGATTCGTGAAATGCAACTTCCTCCAAGGATTATTACACGTAAGACTTTTTTAAAAGTGGTGTTGTGCTTAGGATTAAAAATTGAATTGTGATTATCATTGCAAGGATGATTACATATTGTTAAAGGGTCGAAATGTCAAGCCCGTATTGAGTACAACGAATCGAGTCGTTACCTAAAAGATTCATTTTTCTCTACCAGCCCATGCTCTGCCAATGTTCCGACAAAATCAAGGTGGTGCCACTATGAAGAAAGTGAAAGATAAAGAACGTGCCGATCCCATCAAGTCACGAAAACCAGAAACCCCTCTCACTGGCGCAGGTATGTAAAATCAAATGATTCTTTTATTGCTTGCAACCATTTTTCAATTATCATTTAAGCAATTCGTTGATATGCAATTTTTCTTGTTGATATTGCTATTTTTTCTTGTTAGGAAAGGGAGGCCGAGTTGCTTCTGGTATCAGTTTATCCCAATTCGTTTCTAAGAATTTGGCTGTAAAGAATCTTGATGACTCCAATCCTCGGGAATCTATTCTCCGTCATGCGAAAGTATTATTAATTATCTTATATATTATATGTGGGAATAAAATACTGGTATTATTCGAAGAAAATCATCTTTAGAAATGACTAAAACAACTCCTTTATGAGAAAAAAAAAATATTTGCAGGCCTGAATTATATGTGTCTCAAATGCTTACACCATTACCTTTTCGAAGCGCATCCCAACGACCTTGCAGAGGTATTGCTTACAGCATTACTAATACTAATACATTATCAATGTCTTAACCTTATACGTTTTTGTAGGAGGCTGCTGAGAATCCATTTTGGGTGAGCCCCGCCTATTCCAAGTAAGTATCCCGTTTGAATCTCGCCATACGTTTCTGTTTTGCCCTTCGTGTCCTTCACTGACGTTATCACTCTTTCTGCTTATTCTCACTGGATGGTGATCTCAGTGCTTTCGCTACCACACACACTCTTAGACAAGGTGTCCACGGGCCTTGAAAATCCTGGAAAGTCCTTGAATTGGAAAAAAAATTCCAGGCCTGGAAAGTCCTTGAAAATCAGTCGAAGTCCTTGAAAGTCCTGGAATTAATTACCTTAACCTTCAGCTGTGCCAACATTAGTGATTTTGATTAAAATTACTGAATAAAACGAATTATTTACGGCAAATCCGTGCCCGCATTTTCAAAGATTTTTCCCAGTTCTAGGTCCTTGAATTTACTGAAAAAAGGGCCTTGAAAGTCCTGGAATTTCACCTTCACCAAATTAGGGTGGACACCCTGCTTAGAACATAACTTTTGTACTTCAGTACTCAGTAGCTACAATAATTAGTCAATCCTATTATGCACACCTAATAATCTTGTCTAGAACTCAACCGCGGACAATCCTTGCTGAAGATGATGGTGAAGAAGAAGATGATGATGATGAAAGCAAGGCAAAGAAACCGAAGCTTTCGTGAACTCCATAGTATAGCATGCGGATCGTACTAGTTTACCGAATACAGCGATGTGGAGAGTATTGATGAAGCAAGAATTATATTTTGTACTTCAAGATAGGAATTGGGACAGTAGACTGAAGTTTTCGTACTAACAATACTTCATGTGGCAAATAATGTGGAATCATTGGTGATATTTAAAATCAACTGCAATTTGGATTAATACTTCGGGGTGACAAGGAATATCAACGGCTTGCCAAAGACTACGTAACAGACGTAGCATTTCCAGCTCGAACGACTGAATTTTTTTGACAGAATTTCATTTCAATTTCATTTCAGTCATCTTCTCCCACACAGAAACCTAACATCAGGCATTTTGAGTCACATGGCTTCTGAAAGGACTTATCTTGGCATTTATCCAGACTTGCCCCACGAACGAGGTCAAGGAAATTATGCTCTATACAATATAAAATATAAAATGAGGACAACATAAGAAATTCATTGACAATGAACGGAAATGTATCTTGACAAATAAAGAGCTTTTAAATAAACATTTAGTTGTCAGTTTTACATATTTAAAACTTTGTAATATAAACAAAACACGCCTTTCCTTTTAAATATTGCATTTCCTTTGAACAACGCCGGTTTGATGCCAAATGTCGGATGTTGTGCACTTGTGCCTCCAATTTCAATTTATAAGTAGTTTGCAATATCTTTTTTCTTAGACTACAGAAGTTGGCAGTGCTTTTATTTGATTTGTTTGTTTGTTGAAGATGCTAGTATTGCTGCTTTGCCTTTCCTAAGAACGTCGAATGTAGGTTTCCTGTGTTAATGCTAACAACTTTTACAACAAAATACCTGTATTTGAGGAACGCTACCTGTATGTTAAACCACAAAAGTTCAAGGGGACAAGCCTGACCTTCTCATTGCACAGCTAAATGCCGCAAGCTACGATTAATTAAGTCCGCTCGGAGCCTCAGACGAAGCTAACAGCAATGTGTTTATGTGAAATATGATACCATTGCAGTAACTTGATATA